CAGCCCCTCACTACTTTTGTCAGTTTTTATGACAGTATTAACTTTTGATAGGTGTTGCCACCCTAAAATCTTATCTTTATTCTTTTGTTGGAAATGTGTCTCTTAAAAAATATCACCACATACCTATATTTGTATTTCTCATCAGTTCAGTCAAAGAGGATCGGTAGAATCATGAAGACCGGACCCTCTGGTTTTTACCACCAAGGGTTATGGCAAGCTTTGGATGACACCACAGTTCACCACTTCTACAACTCCTCAGCTATCAGCCGTTGTCTGAAAGGCAAGGCCGTTCACTTTTATGGGGACTCCACAATCAGACAGTGGTTCAGATACATTGTTGAAGAATTGCCCGGTAGGTCCCGGCAGGGATTTTAGAAACAGTTATATTCTGTTCACAGTGCAGCCTAATCTCGTTTCTTTTGTCGTACATTTAGATCTCAACGAATTTAACCTGCACAGCCGGAGGCAAAATGGACCTTTCATTGCCTTGGACTATGCTAATAACATCTTACTAACATACCGGTGCCACGGTCCTCCAATACGTTTCGCCACAGTCCCAGTCAGTCAGTTGCGTTACATCGCCAATGAACTGGACGGTCTGGTTGGAGGCACTAACACCGTGGTTGTTATTGGCATCTGGTCGCACTTCAGCACGTTCCCTATCGAGGTCTACATCCGGCGGTTGCAGGGCATCCGCAGGGCGGTGGCGCGCCTGCTGACCAGGGCTCCAGACACACGGGTCGTCATCCGCACCGCAAACCCCAAAGAGCTGACGCTCTACGAGGCGCTGACCAACAGCGACTGGTACTCAGCACAACGAGACAAGGTGCTCAGGGCCATGTTCCGAGGAATGGACGTTCGTCTCGTAGATGCATGGGAGATGATCTTGGCCCACCAACTGCCACACAGCCTACATCCCAAACCCCCGATTATAAAGAACATGATGAATGTTCTTCTGTCCCACATTTGTCCTTTGGTCTTACGGCTAGACTTTATTCCAATGAACGAACACTTGATGCAGCGTCAAGCAACGTTTCAGGAAGATCAAGGCAACTCATTAACTGGCACAAAATGAGAAACAGCTCCATGTTTCACATATCTCACAATGATGAAGCAGAAATAAGTTGCCGATGTGATGACCCTTCACTCAGGGTTTGTTGTCTCAGCTAACCCAGGTATATTTTTTAAAAAGTGTTTTTTTTTTTTTTTAAACTGTTTTTGAAAGATGTCTCTGGCAATTTAAAACATTTTATGACCGAAAAACCAAAACTGCCAGTTAATTCACTTTTCAAAAATTGCAGCTCTGGTAGAAAACTTGCAAGATATGAGAAAGATTGTTTCTGAAATAACTATGAAGATATCATTTTTAATTTGTGGGATGACATGGTGGAACAGTTGGGTACACATGGACAGCCGCCACTCAGAAATAGATTACACACACAACTATTTACACTCACTCAAGGCTTTTTGGTAATTTTTAGGAATGTTTCAATGTCAAGCGATCAAAAATGCGTTTGACAAGATGGACTGTTTCATTGTTATTTAAGATGACGTGATTCTTTGAGACTTTGTGAATGTGTATGAACTAAAACATTGTTAGTACCTATGCTTTGGATCCATTCTTTAAAAACATGATACAACACACTGGCTATTTTAAAGTACCTCAACAAACTGGACCAACCTCTGTTTCCCATAATACTGATTTTTTGTCCGAAGGTAGTCAAGGCTGAAGTTTTTTGAGCAGTAATGGAATTAATAATAATCAACTGTAAAGCATTTTTCTGTTAGACAAAACTATCAAAACTGGTCTTGAGTGAGTAATGTGAAAGTTACCATAGAGCATATCAGTCTCTAGAGATCTGGACAGGGCCCCCATAAAAGACACTACCCAGATTGTCAATGATTGAATGAATGACTAACATAAAAGCAGCATTAGAATATGATACCTGCACTCTCCACACAAATTTCTGCATCTGAATGTTTAGGAAACATCTAAAACATCAGTGTATGATTAAACTTGAAATGTAACTGTTTGGTCGGAAGAACTAAAAGACTGGAGGAAAGTGGGGTTACAGTTAAGATAAATAGTCTTGAATTAGTTGGGTTGTTTTAATATTTTATTCTCAATTTGATCTCTGACACAAAAACACAAATGCCACACAAAGCTGTTTATGATTGGATAGTAAATACGGCCCAAGAAATCACATTTTCATATCAGGGAGACGAGAATAAACTGAGTTTACCACAAATCTGTAACTGGCCAAAATTAAGTAAAGCCTCAAATCCAAATTGTTAAATCCTCTTCCCTGAAATACACATCAAGGACAACTAAGGGTTGTCCTGGCTACCATATGTAATATTTAATCATCGAAATTTTGATTTAAATTTTGAAAGCAAACATCTTTTGTCCTCTCAGACCCAATACCCTAAAATAAAAATCAAATAACTGAACCAGACATGTGTCAGTTGTTAAAAACCACAGGACGTTGCCTCCTCTCACCCTGACTTGATCATCATTCTGCTGGCCTTAGCAGAGTACGGAGCGGGACCTTTCCAGGTGAGCCAGTGGACCCCGGAAGCCCAACCAATGTGGTCACCATATGCGTGCCAGTTTCCATTCAGACCGGCCGAGCCACATTTGCTGTACCACCAGCCACCTCCGTAGGAGGGGGCGCACGCATTTATAGCGATGTCTCCAAAGATGCACGGGTTGCAGCCATCTTTGTCGAGGTCAAAGGTGCTGAAGCCAAAGCCATTTTGGTCGATGCCAGGATAAGCACCCCGGATGGCGTCGCCTTTGGACAGAGTCGGAATTATTTTGAACAAGTTTAGGCGTTCAGAAGGTTACCATAAGATATAAAAAGAGAC